TATTAAAGATTATATAGTTATAATAAATAATAATATAAATAATAAATCTAAAAATATATATAAGAAAAAATAAAAACTTACTCTTATTTTTATACTTAATCTAAATAAATCTATTAGAATAAATAAAGAAGCTAAAATACTTTTAAAAAAAATATAAAATAAAGTGCGTCGCGATATAGAGAGGTCGCTTTCGCGTCGATACGATTTAGCGTCGCTTTAACGCTCCCGATCGAGTTTAGCGGCTACTCTTTCGGGGAAGTCGTAATCGTTTAGGGTTTAGTACTAATCGATTAGGCCTATCGCCGCTTTACTCTCGACCCTCTACGACTCTCCTACTATAAAGAGACGTCGTCTCTCGCCGTTTTATCGAGCCTTCTTCTCTTTGACTCTTATATCGTTTTGTCCTCGCCTCTCTATTGTCTCGAGAAAGGAAAGAGTTATTCGATAGTAACTAGAATCTTACGATACTTATATCGTACTCCTATCGTCGTAGAGGCGGACCCTAAACCTCTCTACTACTTTAGCTTCTTACGACGATCGAATAGCTCTTATCCTTCCGAATAAGAAAGTTAGGTATATTTATTCGATTGTATTTACGCTTATATTAATCTTACTTACTACTTTAGCTATAATATCCCTTAGTTAATAAGGTCTACGCGTATAGACATTACCTTTCGTCTCTTTATCTTTTAGCTAGTTAGGGGCTCTTAATATCTAGACGCCTTATATAAGGAGTCGTAATAGCGTTAATCGAGGCTCTCTATAGCTACAACGAGTTAAAGAAGTCTCCTTAGTTCCCGAGACCTTCTAAGGTAGTAAACTAAATTAAAAAGAGTATTATCTAAGAGTTTTAAGAGCGTTACGATAAATACTTCTCCTTACTAGATTTATTTTATACGATTAACGATTTCTCTAAGAATAAATTCTTATTTAGAGAGTATAAAGTACTACTCGATACTACGTATAGCGCTAGTCTATTTACGGAAGGCTACGAAGAGATTATACGTCTTACTAACGGCTACTAGTCTCTCGTTAACGTTTCTTTCGAAGCTACCCTCTCCCGTAGCTTAAGAAATTTTGCTTTCGAAGCCTTAAGGAGGGTTATATTATATTCTAGTACTAATTAAATTAGTAGTCGAGTAATAATAGAGTTAACTACGAGTATAATAGTATATTGCCGATTAAGACGTCCTTAACTTTCGTCTTCCCTCCTTACGATCTACTACTCTTTTATAAACGGGCGATATTACTCGACTCGACTAGAATTCGCGTCGTGGTCTCTTCGAATACTTCTTACTTAATCGCACTAAGACTTAGAGACTTTAGAAATTGGAAGTGTTAGTCTACTTCCCTATATAGTCTATCGCTCGATTAAACTCTACTTCTATCTCGACTCGCCCTAAACAAGATTATAGACTTAGGGGTTAAGGGAATAGTTCTATCGCTTCGTCTTCTAGTTAGTTAAGAGTTATATAGTTTCTATAAATACGAATAGATAAAATGTATATCTTACTAAACGAGCTAGAGAACGATATTATAAATTACTATTACTCTATACTCGACGTGTTTATCTATACCTCTTATAATCGAATATTAAGGGCGCGACCTAAGAACGCCGAGTATATTTAAACTTTCTATATATTCTTCGGCTTCGATAGCTTTAGCTATAGCTCGTCTAGTAAAGGCTAAATTACGAAAGACGTCGAGTAAAATAAGTAGGGGAATAGTAAAACTAATAGCGCTAGTAATAGCTATAGTTATTTATTAAATATGTAATTACGACTTCCTCGCTAATAGTAGTTAAGCTTTAGCGAGGGCTAGATAATTATTATTCTTTTAAGCCTCGCTATTCGTTAAGTTTTACTTATAAATCTCTAGTCGCGATAGCCCTAGCTATATTTAGATATATATAGTCTTCGCTATTTAGTAAATACAAAGGAAATCGCTCTTAACTAAACTTATAATTATATTAACTACCTTAAATAATTCGAATATAACTATCTAGTAGGGTTATACTACCTTTCGGCGTAATCGTCCTACTATACGATAAGATATCTCTTATATAGAAGAGGACGATTAGTTGACTTCGTCCCTCGATACTATTCTATTCCCGTAGTCTATTTAGGCCCTAGATTACCTCGGCGATAGCTAATTAGTTAATTTAAGCGGCGATAGCCGTATACTATCTATACGAAACGTTCGGCGTAATTTATAGTAGTCGAATTCGTAACGACCCTATTAAGGTACGCCTATATCGCCTAGGAAAAGCTAATTTAGGTAGCGTTATAGATTATAACTCTTTTAGGGATAATTCTATAAGCGTATAATAATAGGGGCGAGAGTTTAGTTCTCTTACTTAGCTATCCGAAAAGGGCGCCCTTATTCCTCGAGTAGTCGCGAGATTTAGAATCTCTCCCTTAGTCTATATAGTAGTAGCCCCTAAGGACGTCTAAACTCTTAATATCTAGCTAGTTCTCGTACCTATATTACGCAAGATATCCTAATTACTCCTATAGCGATTATCTCGGCTTCGTAATCTTCTAGCTATTTAGGATAATATCTCTACGCACTATATTCTTCGCGCGATTTAATATAGATAGTATTATCTTCGAGAACTCTTCTAAATTTCGGATACGCTCTAAGTAGTATACTCGTACGATATTTACTAGGTTTACTATCTCCTCGGGCGAAGAATATATTCAATAAGTTAAGTCGTAGACTATAATACTAATTACTAAAATTAGGCTATATAAATATTCTTATATAAGTAATAGAGGCTATTCTAGTAAGTCTAGATAATTTTAGTTTATTATAGACTTATTAATAGTAAGATTATTAATAGATTACTCTAAAGTCGTTACGTCTACGAGATTAGATCTTAGAGACTTCGCTTCTATATCGTAGCCCTCTATACGATAATACTTCTAATAAAAGACGGACTTTAAAAGAGACTTCTCTTTATAGCGACTTCTCTCTCGCCTATATTAATAATAGCTTCGCTAAGAGTCTCGACGACGATTTAAATAGTCTCTTTTTCGGTATTCTACTAAACTTAGAGTTCTTCGAGATAATCGGGTTTAATAAAGATTTTAATCGTTAAGCGAAGAGCTATACTTCGCGATTTACTAAGACTTATAATATTATTATTTCCTTACTAAGCGATAATTTAATTCGCTCCGAAACTTCTAGCCTACCGGCGAACTCGTACGCTATTAACCTTACGATAGAATTAAACTACTCTTATTCGAAGTAGATAGCGATATCGTCTTTATAGCGATACTCCCTATCCTCTCGTTATAAAGCCCGAATAGAGGTAATAATTCTATCTCGTCGTCCCTTACTAGTCTTATAACGGAATCTCTTCGGTACTTAGTTAAGAGACGCTATAATAACACTAAATATAACTAAGCGACCGATAGAATCTCCTTAGTATAGCGAGTATAAGTACATTACTAGCTATAAACGATAATATATAAGTGAATCTAATCTTAACTCCCTAAATTCTCGTAAAGTACGTATAGAAGCTAACACTAATAAAATGTCGACTCTCTTTATTAAATAATCGAGAAAGGCTCTACCGCTAGTTCTTATAGAAACTAAGCTTAGCTTTACGAGTTAGGCTCTAAGATTAGAGCTCCTATCGAAGCTAAGATCTATAACTACGCCTACGGGTCGAATAGCGAGTAGACCCTTATTGATCGTAGTATAAGTATAAACTATAAAGAGTAAACTAGGTATACTCTTCTCCTACGCGAGCTCTCCCTAACTTCGTCGTTAAATATCGACGAGCCCTTAAACGACTACTATAAGTAAGAGCGGTATATAGATAGATTAAACTACTTTAGCCTTTAGCCCGTAATATCGAGAGACGCTAGCTTCGTAATCGTATTATCGATAGTTCGGCGAACCTTAAGAATATCTTCCGCTTACTTACGGATTAAGTACTTAGGTATAGTATCTAGCCGGATAACCTAGTTAATATCGTTCTTAAGCTATTAGCTAACTATTACTGGCTCCTAATAGCTACGATATCGCGACGTACTAGTAATATAGATAATCGGAGATAAAATCGAGCTAGAAGGAGAGGAAGATATTCACTCGACCTAGACACGAGCAGCGACTTCTATCCTAGCGAAAGTGAAACGCTTCCTCGGCCGACGTAGCGAGGCCGTTGGACATTAGAGGAGAATAATAACTTAACGTAATGGAGGCGCCTAGGCAAGTCATGGTCGTGGATCTTCGATCAATTTCCCGAACGATCGGAAGCTGCGGTGCTATCGCCTTGGTACGTGGCTCTAGCACCACGAGCAAAATCCGGCTAAAGAGGTATGACCAAGACTAGTAGATAGACAGAAGATTGCTCTTCATAGAAGAGTGTATAGGTTCACTAGACCCGGCGAATGGTCATGCGTTTTTGTCCCGTCACAAAACCTTAGCATGGATAGCATGTTGTATGATTCCTCTTGTTCCGGTCCCTAACCGGAACCTTGGCGAGGACTGATTTCTCGTGCTCTTGTTTGACCTCTACGACATGCTCTTTTATCAACTGAGATTGCTGGTCCAGATGCTTGTCGAGAGAAGCTGTAGAGAGCAGTTCGATCACCAGAAATTACGTTCATCAAACCTCAGCTTTATTCATTGGCCGACAGATCCTACTTACCTACTATGTCTTGAATCGGCCTTTCCAGACTGATTTGCTCCGATAAAATGTACCCAAGAAATCCATTCGCGTACGCCGCAGCTGCGAGAGCGGCATACTTCTGCCATCAATCATTCTTATGAGAATCCGCATAGTCACAGATGCGTCGAATCACGATACCTCTCCCCTTACCCGTCACCGACAACAGAGCCTGGATCTCGGCCTCATTTCCGCACCACATACGCCGCAGGCAAGATGAAGCACGCAGAATGAATTAGGGAATTCTGCCAACGCGCAACAGTTCGCAACCCCCATGTGACTCGTCCCAGCCTAATTAGGTTATGCCTTTGATTGGGTCCAGAATCACCAATCCTAAATTCGGTACGAGACTATTGGTGACAATCAGGAATGTAACATAAACTACGAGTATAGCAGCCTGAATTCCTTTTTTCGTTCTGCCTACAAAGCTGCCTGCAACGCATGCCCGATTTACCCGCTCTTCAGAAGATGAATGCGTATTACAGTGCCCCTAGCTATATCTGTATCTCCAAGGAAGCTTTGGCTAATTACAGCATCTATTGCTTAGACTGGACAACCTGACAGCATCATCTCGACACAATCGTAAGTCAGACCATCTGCTCATCCAGGACCGAGCAACAATTTCCCTTCTCATCTTTGAAGCATATATGCCATGCCTTGAGGTTCGGCATAACCCTTGGCGTCAACTCGAGTCGCGAGCTCCTTCTCGCGTACCTCTGCCTCCTTGTCTTGCTGGATGATCGAGCAGCACACACAGCAGCAAGAGGTAAAGAGGTCGCTCAGACAGTCCCCATGTAGGTTGTATCTCCTGCGAATGTCGACACGCTGGAAGAAGGTTGGAATGAAGTGCAGACCGAGGCACGAGAAGCCGGTGAACATCAAGCACTATGCGAATAGAAAATCAGAACATACTCGCCTTGGCTCGAGTATCACTTACAGAAGCATTCACGCAGTAGTAGGACTTCATGTTTCTATCCTTGTGTACACGGTGGTGCGTCTTGCCGAACGTGATGCATGGCATACAGCATGTAACCAGACCTTTGGTTTGGACAGTCAGTATTCAATCCCCTCTCCTTGCTACCTTGCATGTACACACATACATGTATCAACCGGCATGAAACACCCGAAAAAGGACTCGGCCCACGGGTGGGCATCAGGTGCTGCTGGTTCAGTGACGGTGCTCGAGTCCGTGAACGCGAGGTTGAACCGGTCGACCCAGTCATTGAAATCATTCTGATCAATCAGAGAGACATGGCCATCGCTTGCTGGAGTCGTCATGACGGTCGGTAAAAGAGTGACTTTAAGAGTGCTTGGCTGAAGGAACGATTTTGAGTGAGAATGGACAATTGACTCCAAAGAGCGACTTGCAAACAGAACAAGGAGAGAGCTGAAGTAATATGTGCAAGGAGATCGAGGCGTCTGTTGCTTATGTCTAGAATTCCCTTGATACAGCAGGGGAGCAATCCCTTTAATTGATGGAAGGACGCCACAGGACAATCATAATCTTAACACACGTGGCCAAGTGCTGTTATCTCATGGCGTGGGCCTATCAGGGTAGAGCTCAACAAATACAAATGTACTGCGTAGAGGTATGCTTTCGCTAAGACCCACGCTTGTTTCATGTCAAAACACACCACGAGCGGGATTAATTACAATGTCTGGGCCGGCCACAGACATCAACCGAACACCTGGTGGTACACTCCTGGCTCATGTATAGCGTTATCGGCCTCGTTGGCAGAAACCTGGGAAGTGGGTCAGGACATGGATCTCAAAATGCAATGATCCGAAGTCTTCTGGGAGAACCGCATGCCCTCGAACATGCCACGGACAAAGAGAATCATCTAATTCTTAGGACCTAAATCTTCAGCATCCTTTTTCACATTTCCATGGTTGTGGCCTTGGGCCTTGCCTCTTTCGTCGTTCCAAAGCAGTCAGTGATATGGGTGACGGAAACCGAACATGTGTGCCCTTGTGTTACAACTTCGTGGGTTCCCACCTTTACTACAAGCACTACATCCCTAGCTAGCTCGAGCACCAGTGTATGCAGTGTAGCGCTTCTTACTACAACCATCTCGGCAGGCATTATCGTCCAGACTACCGCACCCACTACGACCCAAACCTCAACCACGACAACAATCACCCTCGTTTCGACCCCGACAGAGACTTGCATTCCTGCAGGCGCCGAGTGCTCGGTTCATACAGTGACATTTGGCTGCTGTACCAGCTCGAGACTGACTTGCGACTCGACCACCTTGACCTGCATGCCGGAAGGTTAGGTGCGAGAGGGACGAGTCAAATCGAAGAGAGCGCTAAAGACCCGATAAGAAGAAGGCGTGAAATAGAGTTTGACAGAGGTAGTTGGTTCATTTCAAACGTATATTTTTTGTTGCCCGTCACCTAAATTTAATCATTGAACGCACAGTACCTTGCTTCACATCTATTGATGGCTCTGTGCCGCGGGGTTTCACTTTATCTTGACAGCGATCGAGATTCCGCGATCGAATGTCAAAGTAATTTGTAGAAGAGCCGGAATGAGGACAGTACAGTAGTTCTCGAACCAGTTTGCTGATTACAGATATGCACACCGGTTTCGGGAAGAATGATGGGGAAAATGGCCCCCAAACGCGGCCTCGGGATGTTGTTGCACGTCTCATTTTAATGAACGCCGATCTCTTCTACAATGTGAACACGGGCTCCCGATGCCGGCGTGATAAGAAAAGTAAGACGGCCTTCAACCAAATGACAACTCACAACTCTCGATCATGTTCTTTCCCTACAAGTTCCACGTTTTTAATGCCAAACTCTGCCATGTTACGATTTCACGATTTCCAACTCAAAGACCCCAAGGAACGCAAGCTAGTCTCTTTAACTCTGTGGAGAAACGCAGCCCGCCCGTGCCCTGGAACTCGGCACAAGGATTCGTCCTATGGAAGGTTCAATCACCGGAGGGGTTGGAGTCTAGATCAGTGCGCAGGCAAGTTCGATCGAGTCGGCGGCGCCGGGGACGTGGCGTACAAGCATGTTGGCGATGCAGGAAATATAAAAAGCCTGTTGGTACTCAAATCCTGATCGACCTTCCTGGACTGACGGCATGTTTGACTGGTAGTGCGACGGTAACCCAATATGCTCATTATGCTTGACGGGCGGTTTCCGCGTTTGGCCGTCAAGGGTAGCCTGTCGGCGTGATGTCCTCGAAACCATCGTGGACAACATCTTGCCACGTAGTTTCCCAGACCTATTGATATTTGACGTCTGCAGCGACTGGACCTTTGCTGAAAGCAGCACACAGTTTCTTTCGAGCGATACATCTCTGAAATTGCTGTGCTTTAGCCGCCAAACTTCTGAGCTGGAGGACAATTGTCCGGCAACGATCAGCATTGTACCGAGAAGAATCCATCCAGTCGATCCTGCCCTGCGAAAGCGGACTTCGCCGGCTTTCATTATCTGTGCACAAGCTCGGCCTCTGCTCTCAGGAGTTTGATGAGCTTCTGCGTATCATCGACGTATACCAGGCCGCACAAGCGAAAAGAGTATGGAGTTTTCTGCAATTCTATTTCCTCAAATGGCAAGCTAGAAAACGAAATCCTCAGACTGATAAGGTTGTTTTTAGGATGAGGCTGTCGACGCTGCTTGTGCTTTGATGGGACAGTCGACTGCGTTCCATGAAATTTTTGTTTCTCCCAGCCACCATATGAGACTAGGAACACCAGTAGATGCCGAAACTATTGTGGCGCTGCTAGACCAGCTACGAGCTTCCATATCCTTTGTGGCTCACGGTATAACAGCCCGCTGCCTGTCCACCAAACGAGAGCATTGGCTTCCCGCCTCCTTCTGCATCATGCTTGCTGGATTATGTGCGTTACAATCAGCGATTCCCTGAAGGTGTACTGATGTTTCGCAGCATTCACGATTCTGCGACCGTGCCTTCGTCATTGCCGAGCCGATGCGTAGCTTAATCTGGGCCCGGGATATATGGACAATGTGCACCCAGTTCCGCGAGCGCGTCTACGGCGTTGTGCTAGATCTGCTCCGCGTTCAATCCGATAACGACTCCCCTACGGGGCCAAGGCCATTGTGTCTGGACTGCTGGGATGTAATGTTCCATGCTGGACCCAGCGGAGATCTTTTACGAAGTACCCGGCGAGGCCTACCACTGTGACCGCAATCCTGTTGGTCTTTCTCTTGTGAACAATGACATTGCCGCATTTGACGGGTTTGCCGCATTGCAAGGTTGGTTTCGAAGACATCAGTGGCAGTTTGTTGAAGGGCAGACGTGGTTGTATGATCAGCCATATAGTGTCGAGAATAGGTCACTCATTGCGTGCTTGTCACCTCTGCTGGGACAGGCCTCTCCTTGAATATTACAAGATCCCACAAAAGCTCATGTGTCAACAACCCGAACACTCCAGAGGCCCGAGACGTTAGGCGCTGAAGTCCCGCAAACCATTGTCTTCGCAATCCTCCATTGGGGTGTGAAGGGCGTGGTCCATAAATGTGCTGTCCTACCTTTCGCCGTCGGATTCTCTCTGTAGCATGAACGAGCTCCAGAAGCAGGTGGAGGATGGACGAACAGGGCAAGAGGAAAAATAAACGAGAAGCCGTCTACGATTACTCAATCTTTCTGCTCGCCTCTACCACTCTAATTGCGTGCTTTCTTGCTCGCGAAAATATGATTTCGCACCCCGACAATGATATAGAGGAATGGAAATTGACTACACGGGTGTATTTGGGTACTGTATTCTTTTGCATACAAAACCAGGCACTGCTAGAAGACTTCAGTATCAGAGCCTTCATAATGATATGCTTTGGAAGACTACTGTACTGAACGAAAAAATACCTGCCTACCGCAGCCGGAGTTGAAGCTCTGAGATGGGTTAATATTTCGAATGACAGTCGGGTCTTTTTACTTTCTAGAGGTTAGTTTGTGGCTTAGCCCGTCAAGGTACACACCATTTCGTATGGAGAAGAATCCTCGTCTGAATCGTGTGTTTAGCTGTTTAGAGTTGAGCTGAACGCGAAGTCGAAATCCCCCTTTCACAAGTGCCGCTCTAAGTTCTTCGAAAATATTCAATTCACTAAGGTTGCCAACCACCTTGCCGCCACCCCCACCTTGTCGCCAATCGCATTTTGATGTCCTTCCTACCCACCTATCAACTAAACTCTCATATATATCAACCAATTGCCCTCGCCGTCTCTCTATTTAAGATGGATAGGGCATCACGGGCCCTTGACCTCTTTCAGGAAGGCCGTTTCCGCAACGTATCGCAAGCCGCAAAGTGTACAACCACACCACGATCGACGATTCGTGATAGGCGCGACGGTCGCGCACCACGCGGTTTAGAAGAGCAAAAAAATGCTAGGTTATCAAGGATATAAGAGGAGGTCTTATATCAATATATAAAGGACTCTTAGCTACAATACTCGCCCGTCAATACTACTCAATTGTCTATTGTCGCGTAGGCACTGGCGCGTCAAAGAGAGCCTAATGCGCGCCTCGGCAAGAACTGGATTTCAAGATTCTTGAATCGACATCCTGATCTCAAGCGTGGTCGTAATAGGTCTTTCGAATAGAGCCGTATAACAGCGGCTATCCCTAGCATGCTCGAGGGCTAGTTTCAGCACCTCGACGAGGCTATTTCACGCTATAATGTACGTCCGGAGGACCTCTAGAATATGGACGAGATCGACTTTCAAATGAGTCACTCACAGAAAGAGTCTATGGTCTTTAATCGACGTACAGGACCTCCGATATCAATTGCTAGTGGATCTACGGGTTGGGTTTCGATTATAGAGGCGATCTCTACCTTTAGCGATACGATACGGCCTCTTGTCATTCACCGCGGCAAATTACACTATCAACCACCTAATTGCTAGTTCCCACCGTTAAACGAGTGCCCTAACTAGTATTGGGGCTTCATAGAGAAGGGCTAGACCAATAACGACTATGCGCTCGAGTGGTTGACGATAGTATTTATCCTATAGTCCCGACGAGGACGTTATGAAGACAACACCTCTTACTAGCGATTACTTGTCCTTGATGGCCACGATAGTCACACTATAGGGGCATTTATCGTAAAGTGTATTATGAATTAAATTCTATTGATTTATCTCTTACCTCACACCTCTTATCTCTATTAACCGTGCGATTTAGGGCCATTTAGTTAGCTAAAGGCATTCTACTTAAAATACCTCAAGAGCTATATTGCCGCGGGCGATACGCAAGTGAATCGTGCTTAATTCAATCTACTATATTAACTTACACGGGAATTAGGTATAATAACTCAATATATCAATGCGAGTTGGCGCCGTAGTGGCCTTTAGCCTATCAACGTTAGAAAAGTACTCGATATACCTTAAGTTTCACGATATCGACACACTACGCTAGAGATCTTACCTCCTAAACGGCCTCACAGTTGCCCCCCACGAGATACGCACGAGTATAGCAAGGTAAACGAGGAACTAGCGGCAAGATTGAGTCGATCTGGCAAGGCTTTTATACGACAACTAAACAGAGCCTACTACGAGGTCTCTAGCGCCTATTAAGTACTGTCAACCAAGCTTTCAACTATCAGGAAACACGTGCTAGAGGACGAGGAGCGAGCCGTATCAAAGAGACTCAAAAAGCAAGACGAAAAGCGTATCTAGGATACGATCGAAGTCATATAGGGTAGGGAGTATACGAAGGAAGATGCGGTAGTGTTATTAAGCGCACTGCCTAGCAGAGATATTATCTACGATATAGCCAACTCGGTAGGTTCATAGGCAATCCCCATACAAAGTTATAGACTCTCTATCGTCAGGATGCATGAGTGGCTACCCTTTACTACAACAATATGCGAATTCATAAAATTGGCGACAAGGTGGGGGTGGCGACAAGGTGGTTGGCAACCTTAGCTATCCTAATTGGGTATTTTGTCTACCTCTTAATTACAGCGATATAGGACGTTATCCCTCATGCGCCCTGGTCCTCTTGATAGTTCTGATTAAGAATTATAAAGTATTGAGCTACTTACGGAATAATTTTCTATCTTGAAGTCGTAAAAAGACGTCGACCTCAATTACGAATAATTTTTTAATTGATAAGAAAAATAGTAATAAAAATTATATTGTTAGAATCGTCGTAAGAAACTCTTCCTAACAAGATGATAAGTGAGAAGGATTTTCGTTGTTCTTTGTCTAACCTTAACGGGTTTTAACTACTAGAGTCTTGATAGCCTAAGTGGAGACAAAAAAAGTCGTTGTGTGATACCAATGAGAGCAGTATCGTGACTCTGTGGGTTTGTCAGTGGTGTCCACCCGCCCCAATACCCCTTCTAGGGTCCAAGCCACCGTGAAGATTTTACCAGGCTCCCACTACGAGTACTGTTACTGTCGAGCTGTGTAGCCCTTACTGCCATCGAGAAGCGTGGTCGGACGTGTTGAGCGATTTGGCGGTCAAAGCTTTGCTCTTCACGCCGAGATCGAGGACGCCCGGACCTCTGAGCGTCTTTCCTGACTGGACATGTGTGTCTCACTTTCAGCAACGCCCACGGCGGATTAGGGTTTGAAGCAATTGGGACAGCGTTTATGCCTTCCGGGACTGGGATGGTACGCTGAAGACGGGAAGACTAGTATGCCGTGTGCAGGGTCTAGAGCGGGCTGATATTCCGAACAAGGCTTTCCGGCGACTGCAAAGAGAGTGTTTGTTGAGCCCAGCGCTAGACCTGCCACGGAATAGTATAGCAAGTCTTAGTGGCCTGGTCAGTTGAAGATGAAATGCATGTAGGAATGCAGTCTAATTTTTAAATTAGAATCAGCTTAATTAATACAATTTGGAGAAGCAAGTCTTACGGCAACAACAACTTAAAGTTGGATCTGCTTTCGGTAAAGTGTGAGATGATCCAACAGGTCGAGGAGTGCATATACGCTTTTCAAAATGCTTTAAAGCACAACGCGGAACACCAACTGAAATACGCTCAGACTGAGACCAACTATCTACCTCACGGTTCTGGCAATCGTTAGTGGATCTTACGGGGACACATCAGAAGATGTCTACAGCATACCGCCCACAGTCCGACGGACAGACGGAAAGGACAAACCAAATACCGGAACAGTACCTACGGTGCTACGTCAACTTTCAACAAAATGACTGGGTACAGTTACTGCCCATAGCACAAGTTTGCATTCAACAAATGGCACATTGGCTACAGGAATAGCGCCGTTCTATGCAAACTACGGAAAACACCCTCATATTCAGAAAGACCCACGAGGTATTTAATCAGTTGCAGAAAAAGCACAAATGTCAGTCGACAGATTGAAGGAATTACACAAGGCACTTCAAATAATCGGGATAGGATCCTCGAAGCCAAACAACGAAACCGGTTCAAACTCAAAATGGTTTCCAACTGCGCATCATCAAGACCAATGAAGACCGTCAACGACGCCACGTCCAAAGGCCTAACATTGTCGAGCTCATCCAAGGCGTTTGCCTCTCGAACCAACATTTTCTTTTGTCTCTTCAGCAGTTCATCAGCTTCACGTTCAAGCCGTTCACGCTCCAAGGGAGGCCTGAGCTACCGCGGCTTGAGCCCGTGACGCAGCAGCCAACAACTCCTGGAGTTCGTCACCTTAACGACGCGCGGCCTTGGCTAAGCGATTCCGCTGCGGCGTCAGACAATCCCTGCAGTCGAAAATACACCATCGCAGCATTTCACCCCTTTCTCTTTTGTACACGACGAACATTTACTATGTCCATCCAGCATAAAACACGCAGAATCAGACTCCTGGCAAGGTGTACAGCGACCCATCTCGAACCTTTTGGAACCCAGTGATTGGATACGCGAAACAAGGTCGTGGCGACGGACGGTGGAGGATCGACCTGGTTTAGCGACGCGATACCAAGGCATGGTCAGCCATGACAGAAGAAGAAAGAAAGGTTCAAGTGCGTTGAGGACAACATGCGACCAGGTTATGACCAGGTCAGGATCTCCAAGTAAAGCAGGTCAGGTGGAATATCACGTGGAATATCTCCTTGACAGAGGTGGCTGAGGTCACGTGGTCAGAACTGACAGCTCTGCTCAGCCCTTCATCCCAGCGTGGTAAGTTGATTCACCCTGCGCGGGAAAAGGATGGGTCGTTACTTCGGCTTTCTGACTCCAAAGTTCTAGTGTCTTGGTCTGGCGCGAAGCTGTCAAAATAGCTCCGGCATCATCAATACCCGTCAGTGGTCACATTTGAAACTATGGATGCTCCAATACTTTGCAGGGCCGACCGTCTTTGGGACGGCTCGTATCTGGAAATTGCGAAAGTTGTGGGCCTACGTCTTCAATGGCGAATGATTTCAACAAAGTCTGGATTCGTCTAGAGTCAAATTCTGGCCGATGACTTTCTTGCTTCAAGCTACACGATGGCCAGCCAGGCACTAGTCCGTTTTCTACAGTCTTTTCATGCTCGATGGTCCGCTACTTTTAGGTGACCACTCGCATTTGCGTCCCAGACGAGCACACTCGAGGCCTTCGGTAGATTTTCAGTCACGATGCAGAACGTTTGCGCAATTTGTGAAGTAATACGCACATGTTGGCTGGATTTCATCACACTTTTTCTTCCTCCTCCTACACGTGAGGCACCCCTTCTTGCTCCTATGGAAGAACCCTTTTGTCCGCGACCGGAACTTTGGCTGCCCCACTGAAGTCGAGTAAGAGAAAGCCTGCTTCGGGGTACTCGTTAGCTGGCAAGGACCCCGTTTCTTCATCTATTTAGTTCTCTTCGATCCGAGTCTCGACGTATGCGGAAATATAAAGGAAAGAGAATGTGAGCAACTCACCTCGGGAAGAGCTTGCGCCCACGCCTTGACTTTTTGCCGAGGTTCCAACGCTAATTCTAGGCCAAGAAGTCTCTGTTCTGGAGCCTTTGAGCTCGTATATAGTAGATTGGAGTTGTCGCTAGCAAGAGTCATGCTTTTCATGTGGGCTCTGAGAAGAATATAGGTGAGAGTCTTATTTAAACGTTCGCCAAGTGCAGTGGGAGAGCGCTTTGGTATCCTACGGTATGCGTGAAAGATGATCATTCTTATGTTACCATTGGATTCAACATGTTTCCAATTCTGTATTCTCGTTTCGTATGGCGCGCGCTTGCTGTTTCGTACGTGCGAGTGGTGGCGTCAAGGATCATGTTTCGCCATGCGTTGGCTTATCTTGCCCTCGCTGTGTCTGCTACCAACCTTAGCGCGCGCCAAAGTATTCACTCTGATTAATCCTGCACCATTGGGGCACCTGATCATTGGGTTTTGCGAGATGCATTATAGCCCCATTATTCTGACATTCGACGCGCGACATCTTAGCTTCCGAATTCTCCGGGCCCGAACATTCTCTCCACGCAACACTGGAACGTACGCTGTTGACGCTTTACAAGAACTATCCTCTTGTGGCTGATGAGGCACTGTGTCCTACTCTGTCCACTTCACTCTCAGCCAGGTCTATGAACCGCTGGGGAAAAGTAGATATGGCGTTAACTACCTGGCCGCTTCACTGACCGACTAGCACAAGAGTTGTATCTATACTTCATCGCCTAAACATGACTTCGATCACAACCTGGTGGCTTACCAGTATTCAGTGCTGGTCGAGAGGGGCTACGGGGGCCACGCTTTATGGACAAGTACTTCATCATCCTTAGGGCAAGACACCTGGTCTTCTATCAAAGAGTGTTCGCCCGTTCCGCGTTGGCGAGCACATTAGATGAAAAAGATTGTCGCTAATCCGAGCGCCAAGTGAAACGTGGTTGATGCGCAGACTTATCATGTCCTCCTGTGTGAAATCCCCAACATTGCCTGGTCCCATACTGTTTGCTCTGGGCGGCGAGTTGTGCAGAGAAGAAGCTGCCCAAGACCTGTGACATGTTCAGACGCTGCATTACGTTTCGTGCGATTTACGATTGTGAATCATTGCACCTACATTGACGTTCATGATCTTCGCACTCTCCTCCCACTCATGGTCCAGAAAGGGTTTGTCCAAGACCAGTCCAGCAGCGGTGATACTGATACCTACCATCAGATTCTTCTGCAAAGTATACGGAAAAAGGGTACAGACCAGTTGTCAATGTGACCAAAATCATTCTTCACTTGCTCGAAGACCTTGGCAAGCTGAGTGATATCGATTACGTCGGCTCTGTAATGAAAAGAGATTTGATCAGAACGTAGCTAGCAAGTGTGCTCCAGAGAGGTTACTCACCGGTAATATCTCGCCCGTACATCGAAACTTATTTCCAATTCTGACAGATCGTCAGCTGGTCTTGGGAGTATATCGAGCAGTGCGACGTTGCTGCCCAGTTCGGCCGCCGTTCTCGCGAGTACAAGCCCGATTCCACGCCCAGCGCCTGTAATATACCTTAATCATTGATACTATTTCATTGGAGAGTCAATTACCTGTTACTACGGTAACCTTGCCCTTGAGAGACAGAAGATCAAAGACGGTAGAGGATTTGTAGGTCGAAGCATCTTTCGCGGCGACATCAGAAACCGAGAGGCCACTGCCTGCCATCTTTTTCCGCGGTGATAAGTACCGAATAACTATCGGTAAGAAGGATACTGAGAACCAGACACCAACAGGACCACAAGATCACTTGTTTTGTAATTAAGCAGTGTTCATGCGAATAAGAAGCTGTTCGTACCTGATACTTAAGATTCCCGAGTCTGTGCCACAACCACTTCGGTAAATTAATTCCAGAGTCGCAGGGTAAGACAACCTACCTTGGTGGGATGTAGATGTATGCCATAGCTAGGGTATACCGTAGTCTTTCCGATTCGAGATGCGTCTGTGGTTCTGGGGATAGACGACGGATATAGGCGACGGATGGAGGCGCCGGACGTTGGCGACTTAAGCATGAAAGCCTACCTTCAGTCGTAAAAATATCAGCTGTTCATCCTACTACTAAACTTGATCAGCAGTTCCATATGGTCCATGACGCCACAGGATTCGTCGTAGAATTTTCCCCATGGGCGAGATATTCATACTTTTCTTGGACATGTAAGGTGGCTATGGTTGAGTTCTACCTCGATTGGGAGACCAATGAATATAACAGTCTATACGGTCCGGCCAAGCTCGATTCATGACCATGACTCCGCCTGCTAGATAGGTTACATGTCGATATGGAATCTAGTGGTTCATCCTACGACGGTTATGCCGCTGAAAATGCTTCAAGATATCTGAAGAAGCAGCTCCGAAAGTATTGGAGTACATGCCCGTGGAGAACTCATTTGCCAGGCAAACTTATGAAATGTGTAAGCCATCTCTCCGGATTTGGGTGCTTGCGTGAAACTGCCTCGGCAGAGCTGACTAACTCATCAGATAATCCTGGGGTATCTGCTTCAATACCGGTGACAATCCGAGCTATTGACCACATTGTGATGAAAATACCATTGCCGTTTCCGACTCGTCGATACGACCGTCATTTGTTTTTAGATATTAGCCTTATTGATCTTGCGAAGTTGTCTTTGCGTCGGTCTAGGTTTCGAAAGAGAACTTGCATGTGTTCGGCAAAATCGTTCCAAATACTCCCCGGGCATTCTGCGAAGCACAGTAAGTAATGCGGGGGTGGCGTGCAGGTGGTGTGCAGACTTGGTCAGTGTCCAGTGGGCAGTCGCAAATTCCGGCTGCACAATTTCTCCGCTTCCTACCTACTTTCCTACACTCAAACGGAGGAATCAAGGGTCTTTTGGGTTGCCACGTCTCTGGTCTTCAATGCTATGGCCGACACCAGCCTGAGCACTGGTGCTGTTAAGAGGTTTCCTGGAATACCTAAAGGCACAGCTTGTGAGACAATGATTGACGATCCGGATGCCACGACTAACATATCCTTCAAGGCGTCGAATGCAGAAAGCAGAAGGTAAAGTGCGAGCGTCGACCGGGCCAGCAGCAGCCCTGTCGGAGATGCCAACGCGCTGGAATGGTATGTCGGGTCAAACGGCTTGTCGATGCCTCTAATAGCCCGGACGTGAAGTGAGTCCCAAGAAGTGCATGCCGTGAAGATGGTCGCGATGATTGACTTGATGGAGATGGCGAAACGAGGTCAATCAGAGGATGATGCAATTTCAAGCCGCTTTGACCGACGTTTTACAACAACATTCATTACCACCTCTTTCGACCTACGGTGGCGATAGCATTGCCTTTCCAACTGCGGGAACATCGGTCGATAGCCGCTCGCAGTCGCATGCAGCAGCAGGAGCTTCTTTCAGTGAGCCGCTACAGGGTCGAGAGATAATTTCAGAACCTATGAGCAGCGTCCTAGATGTGACCAGTTTGAGCAACCTGCACGAACACGACCCTCTGCCGCCCGAAAATATACAGAATGACTTGATCTCTCGAGGCCTGATTCCATTACATAAGGCGACCGAAATGTTCAACATGTTCAATGAGAAGATGAATCAGTATCTGTGGGGGGGCATTGCACTCGTCCATACCGACCTGGCTTCAGCGCGACGGTCGTCATCGCTCCTTTGTGCCGCCATCCTCACGGTAGCCTGCCTTCATTTGGCCGGGCAGGAGACCATGTTTGACAGATACTATGGTGAATTTGTGGCCCTGGTGGCGAAAACAAGTATATGCCTCCGAAACTCACTCGACGATGTCCGAGCTTTTGTCATTGGGTCCTTCTGGTTGTCAGACATGAGTTGGAAACTATCAGGCCTTGCAGTGCGAGTTTCAACAGAATTGAACTTGCATCAAAGCTTTCAGCAGGTTTCCCGTGGTGACAATGGGAAGATCGCACACGCAAGGTTGTGGTATTTGGTTTACGTCTGTGACCACCACTTTAGCATTGCATACGGCAGACCGCCAATGATCCACGAAAGCTATGCTATCCGCAATCACGAAACGTTCCTTGACTTGGGGATCCATACCCCGTCGGACTATCGTATCATAAGCCAGGTTGCGTTGTTTATATGCTTGACTGATGCTTACCACACATTCGACATCGAGACTAATTCAGCTCTGAACGAGACAGACTTTGGTAAGCTGAGGAACTTTAACCTTCAGATCGAAAACTGGCGAGTGCAGTGGCAACCTCGGCTAGGTAAGCCTGCGCCCAACTGGGCAATGTGCTTCGGAATGCTTATCATGTGCCAGCCCTAAATCCACTCATCAAGAGCTACCCGGCCAAAGGTGTCGTCCTTCATTACCACTTTGCCAAACTGCAACTGAACTCGTTATCCATCCGAGGCCTGTCACCATCAGCTATCTTGTCCATGGAACGTGTCGAAGCCGCAAACGTTGCGGTATTCTCTGCCATCGCTGCCATCAGTCTGGTTCTGCGCGAACCCGACTTGAGGCAGGGTATTGTCGGTATGCCACTGTTCAAGCACACGATGATCACCTTTGCCGCTGTGTTTCTCCTGAAGGTCGCTTGGAAATGGAGCGAATCTGTGAATATCGACCCTACATCGGTCCTGAATCTTATTCAAGAGGTGGTTGATTTAATGAAGGAAGTTACTGTCAGTCGTAGGCATCTTGTCTATCACGTTGCCAATGGGCTTGCCGAGAGCATTGAGAAGTTCCGGAAAAGAATGCTGCCTGCAGCATCCCCATCAGTTCCGTTCCAACCAGGCACAAATCCACTGAAGCACTCGCAAATCTCTTCAAACCAACAGTCTACTGATCTCTTCACTGATTTTGTGATTGGCGATGGTCTTGATTTTGAAGACGGCTGGCTGTTCCCTTCATCTATGGAAGTTTTCTGGACCGATCAGCAACCTGAACCGCAAACTGGTTGGAATGGACCAGAAAACACTCTGCCAAGCCTCGCAGCTGGGGACAGCCAGTGGACGACAAGTACGAGATGATTCATACCTTGGGTTTCAACAGAAGCATTAAGACGCACAGAGTCTGCATTCATTTATGGGAAAACCATGATAGTCTTATAATGACTACAATCGTCTTCTCTTTGCAGGTCTTTCCTTCGACTTCGGCGAAGGCACCCACTCGTCTTCTGGGTCATCATCGCCTAAGCCCACAAACGGGCGGATGTACTTTTCTTCTTCATCGTCATCATCGTCATCATCGTCATCATCGTCATCGTCGTCATCTTCGTCCTCTTCCTCTTCCTCTTCCTCTTCATCCTTGTCTTCATCCTCTTCATTCTCCTCGTCCTCCTCCTTTTTTGGAGGGGCTCTGCGCCCTTGTGGCTGCGGTCTCTTCATTACAATGAGGACGGTCGGACTTCTTCTGCGAGGAGGGCGACTCGCACGTGATGGTGTGGTGGCGGTTGTTGCTGTTGATGTTGTTGTTGTTGCTATTGTTGCTGTTGTTGCTGTTGTTGCTGTTGTTGTTGAGATGGCAATCTGCCTCATTGAAGCAGGAGTTCTCGTCGTCAACTTTGAAGAGGAGGAGGTCGTTGTCGTCGGAGTCTTCTTGTCGCCAATGGCATCGGTGAACGTCAATACGTGCATCGCGCTGGTCAACGTCGTTGGCGAAGGAGGGAGACCAGGCACAAAATCTGCTGGTGGTGGCGGCGGCGGGCTTCTTCTCGACACTATATCCCGTTAGTACATTGATACGTATATTCTGCCGCACAAGAGAACAGCAATGTCGACTCTCATGGCTTCTGGGTGTGCCACTTTGTGATTGGAAGATTCTTACCATGGACTCGTTTGGCCTTCTCGGCGAACGCCGGCAGCAACGGCTCTTCGATCAGGCCATTGGGGCCCCGAAAGCGAACGGTCTTGTCCACGGAGTAAGTGCTGGTAGACATTGTGCTGGATTCGAGTGCAAAAAAAATGAGTCGTGTTGAGTGGTTCACATTCACTATGGGAAATGCATACAAAAGTGAAACTTCAGCCTTGCCCAGCCTTGCCGAGCCTTGCCCACCACATGCCCGAGAAAACACCATTGCATGTAAAAAGCAGCAGGATACTCCCTTTCTTCGCGTATGGTCTGTAGCCGTAACATCTCTCAAGATGGGTTGAGTTGGTCGTCGCCGCATGAAGTAAGCCGATGTGGACAACAAGCTGAACCTACCAAATGAACCCCAAAATTGCATGTTGATCACGACGGCGGACAGCCTTCAGCTTATTGATGGGCCATGGAAGCCAATGAAGTGTGTAGATGAGAATTGCCATGGATTTCCTGATGCTGGGCCATGCGCAATGCATCCGAGTCCGACAGTATGGTCAGGATCGAACCAGGCCTCTCTCATCGACTTACCGGAAAGTTTGCCTCCGCAATCGGACGTCGCTTTTCAACAGTGTAGTCGAGGGGCCAGTTGATATCTGTCTGCCAAAAGCACGATCAATTTAGGTGGGATTTGAGACTGTCGTGATGTTTTCGTTGCGTTTCCAGAGCAAACCAGTAACATTTCCAAAAATGTCTTCCAGCGCAGGGAGCTCGTCTCATCGCGAAGAACTCGCTTGGAGTTCCCTCGGTCAGGACCATCTTCGTCGAGGCGGCTTTTTCGCTGGGAGTTGCGCATTCATCTGCAAAATCTTGTAAATACTTACAAATATAGCAAGGAGTATCAACACGAATGAAAATGGGCACAATTTCCTTGCATCCTGCAAGGTGTCGTGTCTAATTCATCCCAGTAAGAGAATCAAGGCCAAGGCATGATAATCGTTCTGTTTCGAGTTTGCGAAGTTTATGGTTAGCCGTTGAGTCATCCAAATACGGTGACATTGCAGAAATTATGGTGGTGAAAAGTTCTTCATATCTCGCTCGACTTTGACAGGTAGTGATGCTGGAACCAATCATGATGATGGAAGCCTGCTCTGGTGGCGAATCGAGTGAATCAGCCTTATGGCTCCGCCAGGCATGCAAATCCCTGAATGTTCAGCCTTATCCGATGATTTGCCGCTATCAATAAGCACCGAAGCATCGATAACCTGGAACAAGTCTGTGCTAAACGTGTTACTCGATAGCGACCAGAAACCAAAGGACACTCCCAAGTTTCGATAGGCACACCAAACAAGATGAATCAAAACAAGTCGCCACATGGAGCGCATGTCATGCTCTGGACGTCATGACAAGACAAGCAGAACAATGGCTTTGCCTTGTAATTCCTTCAATAAGCTGACAAGCAAGGATATTGAACTTGCATTCATCAGGGGAAACTATCCTCATCACATGAAGTGACACGTGTTCACTATTGGGGCAATGACAATCTGTCATACAATGGCATTCAATGACTTTGTCCGTGTCACACCTGGGTGACAGGCGCTCACCGTCGGGACAATAGCAATCAGTCAATACAATGTCTGTTTGATGAATGAAATCATTCAATACAATGTCTGTTGGATGAATGCAATCAGTCATACAATGGGATTCATTCACGAAAATACTCTCGTCACGCCTTGGAAACATGCGCCAACCGTCGGACAATCACAATCAGTCAATACAATGTCTGTTTGATGAATGAAATCATTCAATACAATGTCTGTTTGATGAATGGAGTCAGTCATAAAATGGTCGTTTGGTGAATGCAATCATTCAATACATTGTTGCCCATGTGAATCACTGCCTGACCCTCAGGTCTATAAGTAGCTGCCCATTTCTCCCCCAGTAGACCTTTCTTCCTCCACACTGTTTCGTTAATACGAAACCCCCAACCCTGCCAACTGTTTTTCGATCTTGGTCTCTCACTGACTATCTCGTGTATCGTCAAGGTATACATACAGTTGTTGCTTCCCCCCAAGGTTTTGACTGACAGCTTGATCATCAGATACCGGGAAGTCCTGCAAACATGCCTCCTCAGCAGCAAAGCACCAGTTCAGAAATCTTTGACCGAGAATTCCCCCAAGGCGCGATCTATCAATGTGTTGCAGAATGCGACTTCTCCAAACATCCGGAGGCAGGTTTTACGCAACCTAAGCATCCTCTTCGTGTCGGAATCAAGGGCAAAGTCATCAACTACGACCCCGGAAGACAGCGTCTGAAGATCGAATTGCCTGCCGAGAATCCTGGACCCAAAGGTTCCACCACAGTGATGGCTGTTCTGCCTTGGGATCCATATCTGTGTGTTTGGCCAGAAGGTTTTCCTTTCCGCTGCCGATATGCTTTCGGTGGTAATACTTCCACTGGTGAACTGGTGTTGAAGAAAGGTGACGAAGGTCAAGTTATCCGGCTCGATTATCCACGGAACAAGATGGGCCACCTCATTCAGAAAGCGAAGCCAAGCCCAGGCAAGTTTGAGCCATGGATTGAGGTGCAAGTCGACAATGGCGGAAGTGGTCTTGTCCCTGCCTGGGCTCTCGAGTTCGGCCGGGTCAATTGCAGAAAGGTCATCACCGTTGAATACAGCCTACCAAAGCATATCCCTGTCGCATACAAACCCAACTCACAGGTCACTCGGTATCGAAGATTGATTGAGGCATGGGCTGCAGGCCTTCAACAGCTTGATGGCAATGCGCTGACTTTACCGACCGTCCTCTCTGAAGTTCTGAGAGATAGTGGGAAGAAAGTGGCATTTATCAACTATGTGTACGAAGGAACTCGGAAGGCCAACTTGATAGACCTTTTCAACAGCGGAAACTTCAGCCTTGGAGACCTTCTGTCTAAAGCTCAGGATGCGACTACCTGCCGACCTCTGACTGGAATTTACAAGTGTGCATACAAGAATTTCAAGAAGGGATCCCCCTATTATGGGCACAATCCTAAACTCTATGATGGCTCGAGCAACAATATTCCGAAGCGAATGAAAGACCACGACAGAGATAGCCAAACAATATGGTCATACCACTACGACGCCAGGAGAGCCACACCGACGAAAGATACGAAAGCAGTGGTGCTCTGGATTGGCGACGAAGATTACAGACTCAAATGGGTGGAAGAGTTTCACATTTGCCTGTTCAACAACTTCCATCCGGGGCTTCTGAATTTCGAAGAAAAGGCCATTCAACGGGAAGAAGCAATCAAAATGCATGCTACGAAAGAACATGCGACGGTACTTTCTCGAATGATGCTGGAAATCTTCCGCGAAGTCGGCTGGACATCTTACTGCGGCCACAATTCCTTCGGAGCCAGCGCATTGAACCGCTCGATGCCGACACAAGAAATGTCAACAAACGAGAGGGTCTTATGGACAAAATCACAAGCCCCAAAGGGGAAGGTCACTGTCTTTACTCGAGCGCCTATTGAACTCAGACACATCAACGCCAGCAAACCTCAAGTCGGAAAAGACGTGATACACATGTTTAGTCACCAGACCAAGAGCAAAGATCTGAGGATCCAACTGGCTGCAGATGCTGGCCCACCTGTCGGCACGTTGGTGTATCCGGCTTGGGAGATCTACGAAAGTGGATGTCACCCGTGTCCTTGGGCCTGCCTACCCATGTTGGGTCCCATGGCCGACTGGACAGATGCTAACAAGCTTGCCTTCAGAATTGACTGGCAAGCTGCAGATGGCAATTGGAAATCAATGTATGTTCAGCGACGGTCCAATGTGAAGGTGCTCAGGAAGGACAGTGGCACTGTGCGCCTCGATACCCCCACTGGATCAGCAACGTTTCTGAACCCTGACCCGGGCAACGTGCGTGGCATACTGGAGGTTTATGTCAGAGCTCGAGCGATTCAGCGCTGGTTGCAGCAAGAAGCAGTCAACGATGATTGGCCTTGGATGGAGGGCTATGGCAATGCACGAGTCAAGGAAGTCATTCCAGATCGCTTTCAAAACGTGCTCCGCATCGTGCCTCCACACTCTCGAATTGTTGCGCGAGCTTCGGTTGCCAACTTTCAAGATCTGAAGAATCAGATGATCAGTGCCGGTTTACAACATGTGGGCACCTGGAAATGCCAGGCACCAGGCGGGCGAACAGGCCCACAACAACGAACCAGATGTGACTTCTGTTACGCTCAAGGGCCCGGCACCGACAATTTCAAATGCGTGAAGCGGGACCGCGATGGCTGCAATAATTGCTATGCGAGGGGCTTGCCGTGCTCTTGGTCCCCTTCGCCCCTGTTTCGGGCACCAAGCCTGCCACTAAACCTGCTTACACCACTGGAGACATGCGGAGATGCCGTACATGACATTGGCGAGCCAGAAAAGGAAATATTTCTGGCGTGAACGGAAGGCGACTGGAAGCTGCGGCATGTATGGCACAAGACGGGATTGGAAGGCTGCGGAAATTGATCCTAGCTCACTAGCAAACGGAAGACGGGTCGTTTGCCAAATGTTTGCGCGGTGGGCTGCCTAGTTGAAGGGATTAGCTTTCAATGCTAGAGTCAGGTTACCATGTGGTTGACTTTACCATAGCAAGCAGCCCCATCCCATCAGTAGAAACTGGTAGCCCGTTCCAGAGTTGAGATCTAGACCAGAGATCAGAGCTCTCCAATGCCTCAAGTTGGGGAATAAATACCAGCGACTGTAAGACCTGTATCTTCTGAGATCGGCACGATTATCGAGTAAACACAGGATACCGCCAGTCCAATCATCAAAAGATATACACATAGCGAGATCGTCGACAACAGCTTGCGTCGCGGTGACCAATTCAATGGGTCATCTGGGTCATTGGACGGGGCAGGCACCAAGACTACATCAGCAAGGTCTCCTTCTGCATGCTTGACAGCCAAGGTACGCTGCAAGTCCACAAGGTGGAGAGTGCCTGGGATGACAGAGCGTGCAGTCATGTTCGCTGTTGAGAGATAATTCACCCTCAGTCCCAGCTTCGTCTGGGGAGTCGACACTTATACGGAATATCGCACCTGACCCTGTGTGGGTGCATCATAGAGGACATCGAGCAAGGAGCCTTAAAACCCCGCAGTCGTCCCCGGATGGGCGTACTCACTCGTCCTTTTCTCCGCCTGCTCCGGGTTTGTTGAATTCTTGTCCACTTGTGACTTTCTGGACAATCATCAACGGGACAGAGGTACGCTGGGCCTTGCAGGGCAGCATGGCTTACGTATCAAATACCGATAGCGTGCGCGGTGAAAGGCGGAGTAATGCAGCCCCATGCTCGGGCTCAAACTTCATCCAGCATAAAAAGATTTCAAGGCGGACAATTGCGGACATCGACCAAAGACGATGTGATCTGCCGGGATATTAGCTATTGGGGTCCAGTAAACGCCGAGGGGGTACTCTAATTCGACCCCAGCCCACGCTTCTCCCCTCATCTGCAAGGTTTTGGTGCGAAGATTGCATGCCGCTGACAGTGGAAGGTAGCACGTCCGGCAATCGCGGCAATGACGGACTTGGACGATGTGAACAATGCGGAGAGATAGGGTCGAAGAGACATACCTAATGGGTCTCATTGGGCATAATAGCGATATCATCTGTCTGTGATTTGTAAGATCCCGCAAAACAATATCTTGGCTCCCATTCACTAGTAGCTGGCTTTGCACGTGGTACTTGGAGAACTACCCATTTGCGCGTACGTTCGTGAGACCACGGAAGATTACCCAGACGATGGACATCTCATGTTGCTAGTATGAAGAGCATCTCGAGACCGCAATGGCACAGACCTGGATAACGATGACAACACGATTCCTAGCCGGGATCCGTGACTGATCACCAACGACATCCAAGAGCTGCAGTGCGGCGCGGCATTGAAAGGGGGATTGCTCCAGCGGCAAGCTCAATTCTCTTCCTATGCTGAGCTCATCTCAAGCGATATGTCCTGCACAACGAGTTGAGTGGGCATTTTGGCCTTCACCAAACGAGAGATTGACTGGGGACGGATTTCACCTGGAACGCTTGGCGTTGTTCTGCCAGTCGGTGCTGAGTGCATATCTTTTGTTTGCCTAGCATGCACGAGCTGTTCTCATGCGGCTCTTCTCTTTGCCGCAATGGACGTAGTTGACAAGCTTCAGGAGGGGCTGCGTCGCATACTCACTAACACGAGTAGACGCAGCGCTGTCTCGGCAGAGGTGCGAATATCTCAGCATACAAGCCAATGTATAATTGTCCGAAGATTTTCATGGCTTCAGAATTCCTCTACTTCCCTGGCGGGAAAGGTTGGCCAGTCTCATTAGACTTCCGAAGACGTGGAGAGATTGTAAACCACTGTCCAGGTGGAAGAAGCATCAAACTGCCAGAACGAGGCGGATTGGAAAAGTATCTCCGTAAGCATTGCTGTACCACGACATCGGTAAGACCCATGGGCGCGTGTCCAATCGACCTTTCTTTTTCTCGTGAACGGGGCGCATGCCTGCACCCTCTTCCGCAAAGCTTATAGGTCGATAGCCGATCAGTTGACACGTGCTTCGATCACGATATTCACACTTCACAATCGTGGACGAGTTCCCATCGACAAATGTGTTCAGCGGCGATCGGCTGCAGGCGTTGAATCTCGATTGTTGCTGGGTCCATCGGGCCAAAAGGGTGCAGGATACGAGACATGGTCAGCATGCAGAGAGGTGTGACGACGATATGGTTGCAGGATTGCCAGAGGTCAACGTGAACCACGAGACGATGCGGGACAGGATGGTGAAAGGACGGTAGACAAGTAAGAGACTTGAAATATCGTGCGAAAGTGAGAGAAGACACGAAGGACCAAACAAATTGTCAGAGGAACCACGTCATTATTTACAGTCAACCCCTGTGAACCCTAGTCGCGTCTGCAATTGCAACTGCGCCCTTTAGGCCGCAGTTTATCCGGCAAGTGTACATTCCACCAGTTTCTTCATCACTTGGGGACCTTATCTGCGACTGTTAGTAACAACATACTCTCCCTGGGTCCAAATAGACCTTTTGAACGCACCTGTGTACGATCTTCTCGGTAGCCGACTAATCAATGGACCGTACAGTACCCTGAAAAGCCTACGCCACCTCGGAAGGGAACGAAAGATTACAAGTCGACAGTGGAAGTCAGATATGGGCACAGATTGCGCCGGCTTTTACCGCCCCTGCTTGACCATACCAGCCAGACCTTCCAAGTTGATAACGGGTTAAACCAAGACAGAAGACATGCAGCCAAAAAGGAGGGTCTGCCATATATGAGGAAACATGCTTCGCTGGATCTGTGCACCAACATTCCTTATACCTGTCACGACACCGTTGGAAGGGACATCTTGTGCGATCAACACGGATGAGAGAGTTGTCTCCATATCGCCAGATGGAATGAAATGCCCCAGCATTGGCCTTGCACCTCTTCCCCCTGGTCCCTCAAATTCTCGCATCGTCCTGCTCGTGATGACGATATATGCAACGGAGACATCTTCAAGTTGGCATTGGGATGAGACAGGCAGCCTTGCAGCTTGCCGACCCGACCCGACGACTCAGCTTGCTCTTGAATACATTTTATTCGTCCTTGATGTCATTAAGGTAAAGCCATATCGAAGAGCCGTCCCGATCGATGCATCTTGGGTCTTCAGCAGCCTTCTTCCACACCTCAATCGCGGCCTCTGCCATTGTAGGCGCAATGCCAACGCGCTTCGCTGCCTCGACCCCTAGGCCGATGTCCTTCACCATCATTTGCGTCTTGAATCCCA